TGACATCAACAACGGAAGGTTGCAGATCCTCTTTAGATTCCAGATGGAATATTCTCAGATGACAGAAAATTGTCTCCATTTTTCCAGCCATTCAGAGCTGAGTAAAGGAAGTTAGTAACGAGAGCAACGTCTGCAGGGGAGTCATCCTTTTTGTTTTGCTCTGTGGTTGTGCTGGCGGTATCTACGATGACTGGGTACACCAGAGTTTCCTCATTACCTGAGGTCAGCGATAACATTATGTGGGCAAGTGAGTTATTTAAGTTGGCTTCAGTCGTTGATATGCTTGGATTGGCAGCAGATGAGCGTCTAACTGTCATGGCCTTCTCTGTTGTTCTTATGATATCTCCCTGACCCTCTTCTGTAAACATCGATGAGGGTTCATCTGGTTTGTCACGGGTCTCGGATTTCTTAGTTTCGGCTGCTGCTTTAATCCCGTCTGGTGCTGGTTTAGTAGAAGCATCGAGTTTGGTGGTTTCCTTTTTGGACTCGCTCTTTAATTTATTGCCATTTTCTGTAAGCTTTAAAGCAGTAGGACTGAATAACGACTCTTTTTGTGCTAAACTTTCAGTCATTATCACATCTAGCTTAGAAAAAGCTGGTTCTTGCGCTGATGCTGGCCGAGGCATGGAAGATGAGTTCTCTTTTTTAAAGTTTGAATTGTTCTTTTTCCTATCCCAGGCTGCAGGAAATTCTGTCCCGGCTCCTTTGTATTTTCATTCCCTCAGGTCTAAAGCCAGCTTGAGTATTTTAGCCCGTGCTGCGGCCCCTTGTCACTGGGGTCTCACGTCTCCTCCCAAGGACCCAAGGGTGCCGTACGGCAGGGGCGGAAGCAAGGCAACCCCGTGGTAAAGCCCCGATGGCAAACGGCTTTCATAAAGTTACCATGTGGCTCCCCAGAGGGTGTACTGCGTTAAATTTTTTTTGGTTTTCGACACTTATTTTTTTTTTTTATTGAGCTCTTGGTCCTTCTTTTTTACCAGCCAATTTCTCCTTTACGGTTCTTGATTTGTTTTTTGTCTTCCCCCTGTTCAGCCAATTTAAAAGTTTTCGGCAAACGGTTCCTGATTGATTTTTATTTATCGAGTATGATTTAGAAGATTTACACATGACCCCTTTCTCTGTTGCCATCGTGACGACACTGAAACCCGCTTGGGGTTCTGGTGGGTCCCAGGGCCCTCTGGGGGTTTTGGGCTGCGAGCTAAACCCCAAAGGCCGCCCTGGTGGGTGTTTTGGGGATGCTTAAGCAGCCGGGAAATGTTGGGGACCGCCGATTTAAGACTCACTGGGTAAGCGTAGGAAAGTTTTTTGGAAAGGGGGGGATTGCTAGGGAAGGATCGTGGGGAGGCATGCGAGTATTGTGTGGGGGGTACTGTACGGGGAAAAAATGGAGTCCAGTGCTCCTCTCTGACACAGCGTCGTGAATCAAGTTTGGTGAAGAACTAGCAGGGAAATAGTGTCAATTACCCACTATTAACCCTTTCATGAGGCCACCATAGGTTTTTGTTTCTGAAGGCTCGATACGAGGCCAATAATCCAAACAAACTGTTAGGTAGAAGACCAACATAAGGCCTTTTCCCATAATGGTGAAGAAGTGTTGTACGCGGGACGACTGGCGGGGTGGTATGGCCGGACGAACGGGGCAAGGGTCGAGGGTTGGTTGTTATTTAGGATGATACCTTCAGGGTTGGCAACTGAGAGCCCCCGAAAAGGGCCCATTGCTGACCTCTTTGGGGGGAAAAAATGGTGGAAGGAATGGCACACTGCGGGGGGATGGAAAGGGTGATACCCCCAAATGAGAATAAACGAAGAGGGACCCGGTTTAGGTGTTTAAAACCAGAAGGAAGGGGGATTTTTAAGGATAACTTGTGGGGGCTTGAGGGGCAACTGACTCTTTGGTACAGAAGTCGGGGAAAGAAGTTTTA